GTTTGGTCTTTTTATGGTGTCATACAATTCTTGCATATTCCATCCTTGTGATTTTTAAATTTTTCATAATCTTTGCTTGAGTGCTCTAGTTTGACTACTTTATTTTCCAGTCCTGATAACTTTGTTTTCCATTTTATTCATCCTAATGGTGAGGCTTTCTCCTGTCATTTCTAATTGGCTTACTGACTGTTTCACTTCCTTCTTCATTTTAGCATAAGCACTCTTCAATATTTCTAACTCTTTACTGAATTTATTCAGAAGTTTATCCCTACCTTCCTTCAGTTCTTTGATTTTTTGTGTGTTCTTTAAATTCACTGAATTCTTTTATCATGTTTATAATTGTTCTTTTGAGTTCTATGTCCTGTGTTATCTCTAGGGAGTTTTCATTGTACTCCTCTAGAGGACTATTGGTATTTGGTGGGGATGTATTATTTTGGTTTTTCATGTCATTCTTTTTTTCTCTGTGACTTTGACATGTGAATTTCTTTCATAGTCTCTGATTCTTGTGTGAGACTCAAGCCTTCCTTTGTTGAGTTTAGATATGTTTCTTTTTGTAAACTTTATGTGCCTTTGTGGTTTACTTGTTGGGCATGAAAAGTTGGTTGGTCTAGACTTCAGGTTCTCTCTTTTAATTTTATATTGGAGTGACCTATTTGCTTTTGTCTTCAGGAGTTCCCACAGAGGCCCAAGCGAGATGAGGGTCAGATTCTCTCAGGCTTTCTCCTAAGGTCTGGGTCCCTCCAGGAAAGATGCTGCCCTTAGGAATTTGGGGACTGGGCTGGCCTGGGAGTAGAGCCCAGGAAAGATGCTGGTCTCAGGACTCCTGGAGGCTGTACCACCCAGGGAAGTAAAGGGAGGTGATGGCAGGACCAGGCCCAGAGGTTTCCTGGGGGCTGCAGGGAGGAACTGGTTTGGTCCAGATCCAAAGGATTAGGAAGCAGTGGTGTCTCTGGGCTGAGAGGTTAGCCCCAATGTCTAGGGTGCCAAGACAAGAATTGGCCTGTACCCAGGCTAGGGGGACAGAAGTGGCAGGGGAGCTGGGAGGGTGAAAGAGGCTGGGGGCATCATGGTGCAGCAGGTGTGGTGGACTTACCCAGGGAAAGTGCTGGCACCAGGACACTGGAGGCTGTGCAGCCCAGGAAGCAAAGGAAACATCACAGATCTAAATCACTTAAGGTAGAAAAAAAGTCTTACTTCTTCACTACCCGGGTCCACATTTATTCTGGAGGTGTTAATACCAGAAGCTTTCAGGTTTGGCTGAACAGATTCCCAAGTGCTTTGGCTGAACAGATTCCCAGTGCTTTTACAGGTACTGTACTTCCACTTTATCCATCAGGTATATTTTCCACCACCCCATCAGATACCTGAACACTTAACATAGTAGCAAACTCTATATATACAATTCTATGATGGTTTCATTTCTAACAGCTGCAGAAAGATTAATAGCATATGGGGCTGGAGAGATGCAAGCTCTTGCAGTGGACCTGAGTCAGTTCCCATCACCCACATTTACAGGCTCACAACCACCTGTAAATCCAACTCCAGTGGATCCCACACCTCTGGCCTCCAAGGGCACCTGTACACATGTGGCATGCACATACACACACAGATACATATATACAAATAATTGAAAATAATTGAAACTAACAAAAAAATCTCAAGAAAAATTTAACAGCATAAAGTAGAACAACTACTTTTATGCTATAATAAGTTAGGTGAAT